GTTATACTTAACTTAATGTTTAATGTGATGAAAGCTGACAAGCAAAGCTTAAGCAGTTACATGTTTTAAAATAATAAAATTTATAACTGTAATTGCTATTTCTTCTTTCAAATGTTTAATACTTGTAAAAGTATTCATTTGACATTGTGGGTTACCTATAATGCGAAGAGATGGCGCTGCCTTGCAGCTTAAGAATGGCTAGAAGAATTTCGACGCGGTCCGTGAGACCCGCGGTAGCATAATTGGTCAGTGCATTCGCCCGGATTGCGAAGGGTGCGGGTTCGAGTCCCGTCTGCTGCCTGGTCCGCGTGGAATTTTCTAGTTATATTTTCTTTAGATTTAAACATCAAGCAGTTACATGCTTTAAAATAATAAAATTTATGAGAACTCTGTTTGTCCAAAAATACTATACTTGTATCAAATTCAAAATCTCATCCCAATCTTCATCAGGCATAGTCTACTCAATAGGCTAGTTGACCCTTTTTGGAAAAAGGTTTTAAATGGTTAATAAATGTTCTATTAGACCGAAAAAAAATGTATTGTATTTTTTTGAGACCTGGAAAGCTACAAATCTTTAATTTTAAAATAGACTTTTCATGGACATACAAAAACGCTGTCGGCCATTTTAGTCTATAGATTATCTATGCTATGACGTTGACGGTAGTAAACAAAAACTCATAAGCACGAAGAAAATAACCTATCTGAGTTTATAATAAAAAAAAACATGATTTCTAATAGATACCACGAAAAATGTAGTAATTATCATTATTGTATTGTACAAACATCCTTGAAGACTCCAGGAAAGTTGTGGATTAAAGTGCCGAAAGAAATTAATCTACGCAATACCTGGTTAGAACTTGCTAAAAGGGATCCTGCAACTTTATTGACTCATAGAAAAATTTATTTTTGCGAAGATCACTTTGATGTAAGTACTCATTGAATAATATTTTAAGTCTCTTCATTTATTATCAGTTTTAATAATACAAGTTTTAAAGTTATGTATGAATGACATTTAGTTGTTTACTAAAAGAGACGTCATAATCATGGCGGATGTGGCGAACAGTGTTTTTAGTGTTTAAAAAGTATAGACTAAAAAATATTTTTTTAAATTAAATTTCTACAGCAATCTTCTGCTTTTATGAAGTGAAATCGATATATTTAGGTTCCTTAGACCAAATTCTTTAAGAAATAAATATTTATTTAATACAATTCGACATGAGTCAACTAGCCTATTCAATTCTTTATTGTCTCCATGGTTTAAAAGGTCTTAAAATATAAATACATTAGGTACAAACACATTAGGTGCCCCAACGAGTTCCACCGTTGGGGCACTATAATATAATACAATAATTTACTTTAAAATAAATTAAAATCAAATAATATTATTAACATGTCAACGTGGCTTAATTACAATTGGGTACTAATTGAAATAAATATCATTCAATTTATTAATAGCCGCTCATTATAATAAAAATGTCAGTAAAGTATTTTACAATGTCAATTTAGTATAACAATGTCATTTTGTTACTTTAAAAACTTTTGTATAATACGCGTTCAGCCACGTACGAAATTAAGTATGAAAACATTGACACAACTATGCAGTCGTAACACCACTAATCTCTTAATACCAAACACTTCACAAATTCCCAGCGGCGGGCGCTCGCTCACACAAACAGATAACAAAACAAACAATTATCGAACAATCAATGGCTACTCGGCCGAATATAACGCGTATAAATCACTACGCTTAATAGCGTACGCTGACTGACATCATTTTTAGTTCCCCCCTAAGATCACGCTTATACTCATCAACAATACAACAGTATAAAATCTTGGAGTCGAAAAAAATCAAAATATGTTTATGTCTCTGCCAACCTTTGAATATATGATCAAAAATTCAAATATACTGTTGTTATTTTTATTTTACTTTATTTATTTAATAGGTGTAACATATGAAAACATTAAAAAATTAAAATAATACTTATTCTAAGGCATATATGCAAGCCTATACAAGCACACACAACATTCAATTGAGAAAAGTACAGTGTAATTAATAATCAATAATCAATGAATAATCAATACAAAATAGTGCAATTAATAAAATCAATGTTTGATTTAAAATTAATAATATATTTCAAATTGATGCAAAAAATAATAATGTAATGTCAAATTGATTGACAAAAAAGAAATAACTATAATAATGCGGAATTAATGAGAATCAATGAGAATCGATCTATTGATAAAGCTTGCCAGATGGTAAGCTTTATCAATAGATCGATTTTTGACGTGACAACGTCTTAAATTAGGTTGCGGCTGGGAGTCACTTATGAAAAAGTGTAACGCTCGGTAACGTTACGATGAGTCTCTCGTGTTAAGTTTAAGTTTACATGTACAATGTTTTAGTAAACAAAATATATTTCTATAGTTAAAATTTGTGCAATTCTTATTTTCATTCAATTCCTTGTTCCTATTGTGCAATTTAATTATATTCATATCAATAAATATTCTACCGAGAAAAAGACGTTGTCACGTAAAATCTTCGCCCGTAAAACCGACTTTACAGGCAACCATTTTTTATTTAGATAAATAATTCAACGTTTCAGCAAATTCACTACTGGACTCCTCCACACATATAACCTTTAAGCGCTACAAATTTTACTTACTTATCACAATAGATAAAGTGCTTTTATCGCCCGTATAATATGACGAATAAGAGAACTAATATCAAATTCTTACGCCAAATCATGCACTTGGTAGTATGAATGAATGATTTATTTATTTTCTCTCACCAAGTCACAAAGTAACATTATAATTAATTAAAGGGTATTGAATGACAAAAACAGTGATAACAATGCAGTTCTTTGTGAGAACTGGAGATTGTACTAGGTCACAAAACCTGTTTTACTACCCCCAGGCTCAAATCCTCTTAAAGCCTGTTTGCTAGAGATTCTTATGCATTTCATATAGTAATAGATTATGGGCGATAGTACATATAAGTTAATGTTACATTGAATGTTACAGAACCATAGTGAATTTAATAACAAAATGTTAGTATATTATAAAGTATTTCATTTAATTAAAACATAAATATATACAGGAACAAAAGGTTAGTCGACATCACTGGAGACCGAAGAGCTGGCAGCTACCTCGGACAACGAATTAGTCTAGCTACTCAAAGGGGGAACGCTGTCAGTATCTTCGGAACCTTGCCTAAAGGGACTCCTTTTAGTAATATATTTTAGTTATTATATTATATTTTTTAAGGTTTTTAGTTTAAGGTTCATTGTTCCTATAACAAAATTATAAGCAAAAGAACACAGCTGAGTTTCTCTACACTGTGCGTATAGTTTCACTGCTTGTTCGATAGATGGCGCTGTCAGGATGCGCGTGCGCGTCCTGTTTGATACTCAACAATTCATGGGAACCGTCCTCCGAACAATGAGCAGTTAATTGTGCGATAGAAGCACCGCACCAGTGATATCGCCCCACCGTTTTAGAGATTTATGCTCGCGCCGTGACCGTCCAAAAGTACCCCCGCCATATTTATTTTCGACTAATAAATTGCTATAAACATATTGTGCGAAATGATTACGGCTGATGTATCACATTTTTTTACTCGTGGGAGAGACGCCAGAGTTTTATTTTTAACTTAATTACATTCCGCCACGTATTGTGTTCGTTCCTGCCATCACAATGAGTTTAATATATTTAGATATAAACAAAGAGTTGGGACTGTAGATTTTGATGACTTTAGATATGGAGATAAAAGGAATTTTGCAGAAAAAACATAAAAGAGAAACGGTAAACTTTTCGTGGCAAAAAGAAAACTTTGATTTAATGAAATAATACCTACTAGCAAACCAGTGAACCAAATGTTCACCAAAATTAAAAAAAAAAAAAAAAAATGTATTTAATTAATTGAGAACTTCGGAGATTTTGTGTGGTTTCGTTTGAAATTCGTGATTTCTCGAAAACCGGAAGTGCTACGTTACTCAAATCCGGTTTGTAGTCTCATCAGACTATTCTTAACTTATAACTTAAATATTCTCTTTATCTATCTCTTACGGTTTGGCCGCTGAAACAGCACCACAGACAGACGGACTTGTCTAATAGATAAGAGATTATACTCTTTATTGCACAAAAAAAATGTAAGATACAAAACATAAATATGTGAGCAAAGGAGGGCTTATCTCTAAGAGAGATTTCTTCCAGCCAACCAAGTAAGCGGGTGTAGACATGTGCACTAAGTACTTACTTGTAGATTATATACCTATCTAAGACTACGTACATAAATATATTTTCATACTAGTGGTCCGCCCTCGCTACGCTTCGGTGTAGAGCTGTAGTGTAAACTATAGTTTTTGTTCTCAGGCTTGTGCTTTAAACAATGACTTTATTTATATAATTACACGTGTTATTGTGAGTCAACCATAAAATATAGACATATGCTGTTGTGGGATATTTTTTAGACAATTTTATGTAGAATATTTCCGTCATACATGATTTCTATGTAACTTTAACCATTAAGGCTGCACACGCGACGGAAGCTTAAAAAATGGAGTAACTTCTCCCGTTTTCCCAACATTTCCCTTCACTACTCTGCTCCTATTGATTGTAGCGTGATGAAAAGTATACTATAACCTGCCCAGGAGTATGAAGAATAATTGTACTAAGTTTCATTAACATCCGTCGAGTAGTTTTTGTTTCTATAAGGAACATACACACAGACAGACAGACAGACAAAAATTTTACTGATTGCATTTTTGGCATCAGTATCGACCACTGATTACCCCCTGATAGTTATTTTGAAAATATATTTCATGTACAGAATTGACCTCTCTACAGATTTATTATAAGTATAGATGAATATACACTATAAAATAATAAATACACATTACATGAAATTATGTTAAGATACCTATAGTATGATGAGACCACGGCGCCCGGTAGAAATAACCTTGTTCTTTTCGTACAATGTTAGAAGTATTAATATTTTACAGGTACTGAGAAAATCACCAGTGGGCTGGGCAAAGGATACTCCACGCCGACACTGACGGACACATTGCGAGCGACAAAATGTACAGGTGAGTTAATAATAAAATCTTTGGAAATATAAAAATTTGTAAGTTTAATTTCAGCTTTCAATTTGACGACACTGTATGAGATAAAACAAGGTGGAAAAGGAAGCCGTCGTCGCTGAGTTTCTTGCCGGTTCTTCTCAGTACAAGGTCTCCCGCCGTAGATTTTAGCTTTCGACTTTAACATATGCTTGTAAAACATGAACTGGATACATGAATATGGAATTCAATTGAAAACACTACGCATTAATAAACAAAATTATATACGGAAAGGGCGACTTTAGTTATAGAAAATTTTGGTTTAAAGTGAGCTAAGTTGCTGTAACTTCGCGGAACTCATTTTTTTGCTTAGTGTTTACAACTAGATTACATAAAAGAACCAAGAGTTTAAGAAGATTAATCTATTTGTTTCTTAGGTTTTCACGCACATCACTCATTAAATAAAACTAGTTTTTTAAGGGTTAATGCACGAAACTTTATTTATTTATTGACGTTTCGTAGCCTTTACAGGCTACGTCGTCAGAATCCAGGCTACGAAACGTCAATAAATAAATAAAGTTTCGTGCATTAACACGTAAAAAACTAGTTTTATTTAAGATTAATCTATCTTATACGAACTGTTGAAAATCTAAATATTTCTATCATTTCAATGCTATAAATAGAAATCAGATAGTCGCTTTTCTCTTGCATAGAAATGCAGTCCTTTGAAGACCAAACGGGACTGACGCCATGCGCTATTATATCGTCAAGAGTCCAATCATATTACATGTAATACATTCACGCGTAAACAATTGCCAACACTGGGCTTCCCCGCCATTACACCGTATCAGTGTCTTTGACATCCAACCCTCGATTGTTCATGGTGAAAATCAGACAACAGTCTTCCCAACTATGGCACAAGAGATCCCAGCTGTCTCCCATAAGACGAGCTTTTAGGCCGACGATGCGTGAACGCAAAGGCTTAGGAATAATGGATACAATTAAAAGTTACCTTACCATCATCAAAGGGCCGGTCGTTTCGCTTGCTGAAGCGAAATAGTGCGCAGTTTGAAACAGAAATGCTTTAAGGTTGAAATCCTGTGTCTACGATTGTGATAAGTTTTAATCATCATTATCTTAGTTTTACATATTCACTGTTGCCTAAAAATAATTGAATTTGTTTGTGATTTAAGTTAATATTACTTTTATCTAATGAATAATTCACATTATATATTTGAGTCATATTAATTTGGTAAGATAGTAATTTTATTGGCTTACGATATCCTTGATATATCAAACAGTGAAACTACACCAAAAATATAAAAAAAAAAAATCCTACCTTGATTTTTTGTTCCAATTTTAAATTTGTGTTTTATACACGATTATTTGCCTTAAGCATTAAAAAAACTTAATGAATACAGGTCGTTACGACCACCAGATCAACAATGACACTCAAAATACATTCACTATTATCGCAATAAAGGGGGCCTTTACGACACGAAAAGCATTCAAAATGCCCTGTAACTAAAACCAGCCACGCGCCGTCACATGTTATGCGTTAATTAAGTACTTTCTGGTCCTTCAGACCAACCCATGTCCCATTCCAATAAACCCTTCTGTAATTGAGGAAGAATTATTAAAAAAAAACTTATAGCGTAGTTTAAAGGAGATTGCTCAACTTCCATACATGTTTGGCCTAAAGACCAATAATCATGAAAAATTGTTTCCTAGATTCGAAATCATATATATATTTCTGTAGAAACGAATATTATTGACGGACACCCCTGAGAACTTCTAGAAACCATATACACTGAACATATTAAAATAATAAAAAGTAAATAAGTGATATAGTAAACTATGGAAATTAAGCCAAGTACCGAAATTATGGATTAGATTCAGGTATATAGAGCATGTAGATTAACAGATAGTTGCCTGATTTTAAAGTTAATGCATACTCTGTGACAGAAACTGTGTGATGAATGTCGAATGAGCCACAGATTAGAGAGAATTTTTAAACTCTCGTTAACCAAAGAAAGCTAAGAGATTTAGGTTCTATAGCCATATATTCAGTAGCTTCATTATTTTTGTTATGTTTTTAAGATAACCATATTTTAGATTTTTAGTGTATCACACCTTATAATTTTATTTATTTACAGTCAGGGAATGTAGGCCCATATATAGATACCTTAAAGTCTAACATATAAACAGATTATAATGTGTTTATGGAGGTGTTTGGCGAAAAATGTATGGCAATAGACTTTATGATGTCGCCTACCATCTATATTAATTGTCTGAGCACATTTGCATCTAGTGAAAATGATAATATAGTTGTGAATATTAATACCACAGTGTAATAAAAAAAATGATTTATTTTATCGATCTTTTCAAGATACATTTGTTTTTATGTTATATAAACAACTTCGATCAGTCTTTGGCTGAATGTTACTACACCCATAGCCATTAAAAATGATTCGTATGTTTTCCAAACCGGTAAAATTAAAAGTCCTTTTTAAAGTAACTATATTATACAAAGGTGTCCGTTGAAATCTAATGACTGTAAATTAAATTATAAATTACGCCAAGAATTACCGTGTATGTCAATATTTTTTGTGCATTTAGGCCAATTTGAGCAATCTCCTTTTTTTGTAACAGTATTTCCAACATTCACTTCGCTGAAACTTAGGTAAAAACTGTTTCATACCATTTTTTTTTTGGAAAAATTATATTTCTAAGTACGTGTATTACGTATAATAATTATACCTACGTACATTTTCACCTTTTTTAAGGTATGCATTATTAGGCAAATCATACGAAAAGCCACGGAAACTTCATCCCTTCCGACAAATTAAAGAATACTTATTATTCTCTTATAAAATTCATCATATTGACATTTATTTATATTTACATAGAAATATTTAAAATTACAAAAGCTTAAAACTACTTAATGCCTAAAAACTTAAAAACTGGTAATAACTAAGTACTTTAATAATATACATTTTTTTTAAATGTTTCCCCCATAGCTTTATTTATAATAACAGCAAACTAAAAAAAAAATTACTTATAAAAATATTCTATTATTTTGATTGTATTCGCAACAATTCCGTTGCGATGGGAAACATACCGACTTAATTATGCCACTACCAAACAGAATTAGCAACACCCAGGCATTTATTCGAGAGCGTAGCTAAACGTAATAATTATCGTCGAGTATCGAACGAGATTCACCCGCGCGTATCGAATGCCTGCGCGTGCGCCGTGCGTCGCTCTGCAAATAGTTACAAATTTGCGGTGACAACCGTGAGCGTTTTGATTTTTTCTCATGCTCCAGCGTTTAGGGTTGACTTGATTCTGTGATTGTCTCGCTGATAGTGATGATGAGAATACTGGTAATTATATCATGACGCAAGATAAATGTAAAAAAAATATGCTGTCTAGTTTTAATCTATATATATAAAACTCAAAGGTGACTATCTGACATAGTGATCTATCAACGCACAGCCCAAACCACTGGACGGATCGGGCTGAAATTTGGCATGCAGTTAGATGTTATGACGCAGTCATCCGCTAAGAAAGGATTTTGATCAATTCTACCCCCAAGGGGATTAAATAGGGAATGAAAGTTTGTATGAAACTTTGTCAATTTTAAACCGATCGGGCTGAAACTTTGCATGCAGGTATAAGAAGAATCATAGATGAATGTCATTGTGTATAATACAAGCCTGAGAACAAAAACTGTAGTCTACACTTCAGCTGTACACCGAAGCGAAGCGAGGGCGGGCCGCTAGTATAAATTAAATGGCAATTTAAAAATATATATTACGTAAGAAAATTCGTAATATGTATTTATATCTGTTTTAAGCGAATTTGGCCTAAAAATGTTAGCTTATTTTAATTTAATTTTGTAAAATAGAACTTTCGTTTTGAATCCATATCTTTTCTGGCCATTGTATATATTCTAGTCTATTCTAGCCAATGCTAAACGCTTATGACATATTCTCGCTATCGGATTGGATTACCATTTCGTCAGTCGTTAGCGTCATTTACTTCAAGCCCTTCGGATTCTAATTGGCTGTAGTGAATATTGTCTGTTGTAACGCTTAAAGCCAGAAACATATTAACGTGTCGTGGCGTGATGTGGCGCATCGGTTTCATACATTTATTATGGGTTAGAGAGAGATAGAGAGGTTAAAGCGTCGACACGACACGATACGTAAATATGTCTCTAACCATAGTAAATGTATGAAACCGATGTGCTTCTGGCGCGCCACGACACGACACGACACGTTAATATGTTTCTGGCTTAAGAGTTGAAGCTGAATTTTTTTTACGTTTATGACGTGCACTAAATGTTAATGAGGATATATACGGATCGAATGATTAATTTAATGATGCATTAGATGCACGGTGAAATGACATACCTGGGTCGTATCTATTGGTTAACCTATTAAAAAAAATGGTTGCCTGTAAAGTCGGTTTTACGGGCGAAGATTTTACGTGACAACGTCTTTTTCTCGGTAGAATATTTATTGATATGAATATAATTAAATTGCACAATAGGAACAAGGAATTGAATGAAAATAAGAATTGCACAAATTTTAACTATAGAAATATATTTTGTTTACTAAAACATTGTACATGTAAACTTAAATTCATCGTAACGTTACCGAGCGTTACACTTTTTCATAAGTGACTCCCAGCCGCAACCTAATTTAAGACGTTGTCACGTCAAAATTATGTTTTTACTAGAATTTCAACAAAACTAATCAACAATCAGACGAACGGACTCTAAAACCAACCTTTCTCTGTCTACTTTATTAGTCGATTCATAAATACGACCTCCGTGGCAGAGAGGTTTGTACGCCGGGTTTCATGATGTCGCCGACTCGAGAGGTCCCGGTTCGAATCCCGGTGGGGGCAAATGTTTGTGTGATGAATACGTGCATTTGTACTCCAGTCATGGATGTTTAATATGTATTTCTATATATGTACTGTTATGTATTCTATCCGTTACCCTAGCATCCCATAAC